ACCGCCTAAATGCACGAGCCATTTCCGAATGGTAGTGCTACCTCCACTTCGAGTCCATAGATTGGGGTCTGCATGACCCCACTTGCACCCAATGTCTCAATTTTGATCTTACGCAAGTTCTTTCTGACTCATTTTACGACATTTACAAGGAATGACGCTTAGAGTCCGTTTTCAATGGGTTGAAGAGTAAATATGCTTCAGAAGGAGAAAAAAACTGTGCCGTATGCTAGACCTGTGGGACTCCTGTTGCACCAACAATATGGACAAGTGGAGACGCAGTACACAGGGGATGTTACTTGTCTCACTGATGTGCGTTTATGAGGCCACGGCCGTGGCGCGCCGTTAATAAACGCGTCCCCTTCTACCATCGTGTTGTTGTTAGTGTTGAAAACTCTGGTCTACTTGGTTTCGCAATTGCCGTGCGTAGTCGAACCCAAAATGCCACGTGCTTTTGCGCGTCGATCTTGGCAAGATTTGCACTTATCTGTCGCCGTGGCGCTCTTCTCGACGTTTTAGTTGTTGTGGCCGTGATATATCGCTACGCAGATTATAATAGGCTTGTTAATTTCACGGCTTTTTATCTTTTGGGCATTACAAATATCCGTTTCAGACACTTCAGGCAACCTGACTGTCAAACGCGAAACGGAGCCTTTTGCATACTTTTCCGAGCAGGTTTTAACAGTCCGGGTTCCTGTGCGAGGGCTCTGTGTGTTGACAACAGCAACGAGAATACCTCTGAATAAGCCCAGCTAGCTTGAAGAGTACTCTCTGTGGGGTACATCCGACAATGTACTATCCCGCAAAAGGAGCAGTTGTGAATATTTGATCTCGTCAACCTGAAACTCTGAATTTTGGCGACTTGGATCCTATGATCGCGGTTACCCATAAAGGCAGGAACTCGCCTCAATTAGCGACGATTCGAGAATGCTGTAATCGATTTTTGCTACGGCGACTCTGTACACTTATCCGTCTACCAGGGGCGCCAGTAGCATTAGATGTCAGACCCGTTACTCAGTCTTCAGAAATATTTTTAACCAGCTTTCGAACCTAGCAGCTTCAGTCGATTTAATTTAATTTACGGCTGCATGCGGTTCTGTCTCCTAATTCCTTCTTCTGAACCTGATACTCCAACTGGCAGCCTCAACGGTAAGGTGTTTTCTGGGACCCGTGGTTTATTTGTCCAACGTTTCGACCTCTTACGCGAGCCCATTGTCAAGGAATTAAAAGATGTACAGCTCAACTCTGCCGGGTTTGAACTTGACCTCTGCCATCGATCTGTTCGCGCGACGCGAAATAGGCATGCAGAAAATCGAAATGCCTCTTAATTGAATTTGAGCGTAAATGTCATGCTTTCTGCAGCAGGCGTGAAGTTCGGTCGTCCGATTGACCCAGTATTCGAACGCGTTCGAAGTCGAAGCTGTGCCTTGGCGTGGATGCGTGAGCGGCTACCAAGGAAAGCCTGTCCTTCCGTCGCACGGCCAATTTGTGCTGGTGCGGTCTCGTGAGAACCCGTTTGTCGGTTTTAACAACATAATTGGCTTGGTCACAAAGACAGTCGTTGCGGTAAATGACACCGGATTTTTCGTTAACGGATATTGGGTCTTGCGGCTGTATGAGTTGCCTGCGGATTCTCGCTTCCGGTCTGTGAGCGACGCCAATCCCAATTTCGCTGACAAGTCGAGCGAATTCTTGGGATACGTCAGCAATATAAGGTATTGCTCTCTAGCGTGTTGGTTCTGGCTGCCCCGTCGGTTTGCTTCGCTTGGCTCCTCGCCTGCATTTTTCCCACAAATGCGCCAGGGTATCCATTTATCTTAAAATTTTTTCACAGGAACTGAGCCCCGGCCTTTTGTCGGCTGGTTCACTGTGTTGGGTTTCTAGTCGGCGATATAGTGTTTGTACACAATTGTGTTTATGCGAGGCGGGATGGTTGCTAAGGTAACT